ATTCACGGGCCAGCGGGTTAACTGAGGCCCGTGAAGGTGCAACCCGCAAAACCCGCGGGTCACACCTCCTTGACCCGTGAACCGCCCGCTGGGGTCACGGGTCGGCCCGCGATCCCGAGTCAATCCGGGCCAATTTTCACGGGTCTGGTCGGCCTGTCCGTCTTTACACCTCTACTTTATTCTATATTTTACAAAAGAAAATGATATGATAGCTTGTTGATATGTATCAGGTACTTAGCTTATGTTTGGTTTATATTTATAAACTGTTTACAAACCTTCATACTCATTATCTACACATTTCGAGAGACCAACAAGTACTATCCAATTATCCACTTATCCATCACTCATTTTTATCTATTAATAATTTAAACCATTTATAAACACTTATCAAACATGCTTTACACAGGCACTCAAAAACAAAGATCAAGTGCAGGAAAACACCGGTATCAAGGATTATCTTTTATTACCCCTTGGTTTTGCAATCTTGTAAACTGTGAGCTCAGCTGCTCTTGCCTATTGTATTGGTTTACTTCTGGTTGCCTTGAATCAAACCGACTACCAAGTCTCTGTCTCGAATAGCTTCTCAGGGTCTCTCCTCTCCAGGAACAGGAAATTGTGCAGGCCGATTCCGCCAGTCACGGTTGTCTGTTTCAGAATAACAACCCTGAGCCTGATTCGGAACCTATAAAAAGCAAATCGGAGACTATCATATTATCATCAAAGGATGTAATCAGGAAAAAAAGGACGAATTAATGGCCCCTTTCAATTTCGATCAATTGCAAAACGATGTATACAAATGTATACCCAAGAAACAAAAAATGAATGAACAAGAACACCACAAAATAGTTGTAGCAGTTTGGCTAAAATAGGAAAGACAGATGTTTTTGTGATCAAAGTCCAGACAAACTCACGTTGCTTTCTCCATGACCCCAGCTTGGATCAATACCAGAAAATTCAACTTCAACTTTTTGTTTAACCTTCAGAATTTCCTCAGAGATGTTGGCCACCTAAAAAAAGATAATCAGCCATATCAAACTCCAGGAAATCAAATAATGGCACTGCCAAAGAATGCATCCGATAAATCTCGAAGATAGTGAAAAACACAATATAACAACATGCACATGCCAAAGGTTGTACGAAATAGAAGTGGCAGATCTAAGTGATGCTGTATGTGACAGTTGAAAGGATTATTCAACGAAAGAACAATAGCACTACAGCAAAATGCATCATTCTCCATCCCTGAAGAAAAATGGCCTAATGAGCAAATAAGACTAAAAGAATCGGCCTCAACTAATGCCTAGCGGTATATGTAGGAAGAAATTACACGAACACTGGAAAGACAACAACATAAACAAGGCAAATAGATACAGGAATAAAGAGAGAGAATTTAAATTCAATTTTAAGCAATGTTTATGATGACAAGCCACCAGAACTAATGATAAAACATAATTTGGAAATATGTGAACCAATCTAATATGGACAAAATGACTACAACCACTAAACATGAAGTATGTCAAGAAGCAGCATGTCACGAGACTAGTTTTCTTACACCAGAATAACTAGATACCGT